CTCGTCCTCACCGGCATGGTGGCCGCGGGCCGTGCTCCGCCAATGTCCCCGCTCGGGATGCAGCCCAACAACACCGGGTTTGCGGGCGAGGCTGGGCCGCGGGAGACCGAAGCACCTCGGGGCTCCAGAGACTGCGGCTCACTCAGCGACGGAGGGCAGTGCGCAGGCGCACTCTGAGCTCGCCCCGCCCAATCTCGGGTGCCCTCGGCTTCTTGAAGCACGCATGCGCAAGGGCTTTCCGCGTCCATCTCCACGGACGCCGGACTGAGGCGGCGCCTGCGCGGCTGTGCGGTTCCTCTGCGCTGGAAAGGTGGTTCACGTTGAGGGCCCGGGGACCCCTGGCCGGCTCAGATTGCGAGGGGCTCCTGACGCTGGCACTACCCCAGATATTAAAAATAACAGTGGGTAATAGCGCATCAGATTCTGATTGATTCATCCTTATTTCATGAGGAATATCAGAGGTTGGGTTCTGTTTATCTCTGCTATCCGCCTGCACTAGCAGTTTGAGACTCTGAATACAAAGTTGTGATACGTGGCCTTTGTCTGTTTGTGTGTACATACACATGTGCGTTTGTGCACTCCTCCACCGTTGAGTGTCTAGCGCCCCATTAGATAGGTGAGGGATTTGTGCCGGGTGCCGTGAATTGAACCTTAGGCCAACGGCCCTACTGCTGAGCTATTCTGTTTCAAACTGAGCTTTTTGAAGACAGAGGTTTATTTCTGGCCTGAGGTATCTGAATGAAAAAATAATAATAATAAGGAGGAGGACATGACCAGACTAGGTTGGCCATGTGAGGAGGGAGAGAGAGGAGAGATGAGAGGAACTGCTGACCAAGACGGGTAGCCTGGGCCAAGAGACTGAGATAGCCACAATGGCAGGATTATATAGGGAAGGGCAGCTGGGGGAAGGGCAGCCCACCCCCTGAGCTGGAGAAGTTTTGATGTGTTAAATAGGCACCTCAGCCGTTTGTCCAGGGTTTGAGACCTAACAGTATCCAACCATGAAAATAGCTCAAAGCTGAAGCTCCTGCTAAATAGCCGCTTGCTGAACAGAACTGGTTTGGATTTTTCAGTTACGGGAGAGTTGGTTTGGGTTTTGGTTTGATTCAGGGTCTCATTGTGTAGACCATGCTGACCTTGAACTCACAGAGAGATCCTTGACTCCTACAAAGCATGAAAGGCATCTCCATCATGCCTGGAAGTTACGGGAAAGTGTAAGTTGTAAATAATTATAAAGCGTGTTTTGTGTTAACATTCAAAGTGTTCGTCTTGGGGCTGGAGAGATGGCTCAGCAGTTAAGAGTACATACACCGTTCTTGCGGAGGACTGGAGTTAGGGTCCCAGCTCCCAGGTCAGGCATCAGAACAACAGTTCTACGGAATCCTACACCCTCTTCTGGTTTCTGTGGGCACTGTACTCATATACATATACTCACTCACAGGCACACACATACACTTAATTTAAAAATTTTAAAAACTACCCGGATAGTGGTGGCATATGCCTTTAATCTCAGCGCTCCGAGGAAGAGGCAAAGAAGATCTCTGAGCTCAAGGTCAGCCTGGTCTACAGATCAAGTTCCAAGACAGCCAGGGCTACACAGAGAAACCCTGTCTCAAAAATAAATGAACAAAAATAATAAATCTTTAAAAAATGTTCCTCAGTACATCACACAATTGGCCATGAACATCAGTAAAATGTTCTGTATTTCTCAACGGTGCTGAGTAGGAGAGGCCCATTTCTTATGATAATGTAGACCACCATTGCACAACTGTTGCTAATACATGACAATACCTTATCATTTCTTTAAAGTTTTATATTATTTATGTGAGTGTGTGCTCCAATACTCATATGCCATGACTCATATGTGTGGAGGTCAGAGAACAACTTCAAGAGTTAGTCTCTTCTTCCACAGCGTGGATCTCACAATGGAACTAAAACCAGGCTTAGTAGCAAACACCCAGCAATCGTGCTGGCCAGAAAGTTTTTAAAAGATGTCTTTTTTCTTTCTTTCTTTTTTTTTTTTTTTTTGGTTTTTCGAGACAGGGTTTCTCTGTGTAACAGTCCTAGCTGTCCTAGAACCCACTTTGTAGCCCAGGCTGGCCTTGAACTCACAGAGATCCACCTGCCTCCGCCTCTGAGTGCTGGGATTAAAGGCATGGGCCGCCGCCGCCGCCGCCGCCGCCGCCGCCACCGCCACTTCCAACACCCGGCAAAAGATGTCTTTATTATAAAGTAATCCAGTTTCCTAGCTATGCCTATTTTATCTTGTATAATCCCGCATTCAAATGCATGTTATATTACATCATACTACACTAAGATATATAGGCCACTGCAAGTATATTGAAGCTAGAGACTTTAGATTTTTTTCCCCTTTGTGTTACATCTCTGAAATGCTATCAAAATGTTTGTTGAAAGAACAAAATTAATCTATTTTTAGTGCACTGCTTTGCATTCAAATACCTTCTACTAATGTAAAGGTTTTAGTTGTGCAAAATCAAATTATGAATACTATACAAAAGTAAAAATAAAAGAAAATGGCTATTGTACATTATGTCCCACATGGTGACCTTTCATAATGACCTTGCTTGTTAATTTGTTTATTTCATGTACCACCAGCAGAAAAGGGGGATCCTTAGGAGCTAGCCCAGATTCTCGCCTGTCTTTCCAGAGCCTAGCACAGAACTTGGCCCAAAAGAACTAATTATCCACCCCTTCCAGCCTAGCATCAGTCCACTTGGATGTGTAACAGTTATTTCATCACGTCAGAGTTTAAATCCTGTTCTCCAGATCAGTTTGCCTCCCTTCCTCCATGCTGTCGCTGTCACATACACACAAAAAAGCTCCAGCTTAGACTCACTCCATCTCAACAAATAGCAGAATTCCAACACTCGTTCTGCTCAGACCCCAGTCTTTCTCCCACCCCATATCCAATCCTTCAACACAGCCTGTTAGGATCTGCCTTAAAGTAAAACCAGAACTTGATTTCTACCACCACCACCACCATCACCATGGGCTCTCACATGTATTGCTACACTCAGAACCTGTTTCTATAACATCCTTGAGGGGTAACAAGAGTGGCTTTGTTGACAGAGTCCTTGCCTAGCATACTTGAATCCCTGGGTTCCATTCTCAGCCCCTCATAAACCCGGTACACACAGGTGGAGGCAGGAGAATCAAAAACCCAGAGTCATCCTCAGCTACATGGTGAGTCTGAGGCAGCCTGAGAGCCATGAGACAAGGGACAGGTGTGGTAACCCCAGCACTCAGGAGGCAGAGACAGGTATCTGTGAGTTCAAGGACAGCCTGGTCTATATAGTGAGTCCTGGGGCAGAATTACACAGTAAGACCCTGTCTCAAACAAAAACAAAAAGCGAGGAGGCAGAGAGCAGGAGAAAAAGTGGAGCAGAAGAGAGACTCAAGCACCCATAGATCTGGGCCCGGGAGCACCCTGGATCTAGTCTCCACAGAGATGGGGAAAGATCTGTATCTCCAGCACAGTACCGACAAGGATGGTGTTGAAACATGAATCAGATCTTTTTTCTGCTCCAAACCCTCCTTTAACTTTCCATCTCTCAGAGTAAAAGCCATAGCCATCCCTCTGCCTCTCCAATTCTTCCTCTTCTTCCATCTGAGCCAGCCCAGTAGGCCTCCTCACTTCATCCAACATCCCAGATATGATTTCATCCTAGCAGGAAAGAGTTATGTGCTTGCCAGTAGGAACTAATGAACATAACTGTAAGGAATTTTAGCTGGCCATGACGGCTCACACATGCAACCCCAGTATTCAGGAGACTGAAGCAGGAGAATCATCTGTGAGTTCAAGTTCAAGAATGATCCTGGGCTCCAGAATAAGTGCCAGGACAGCCAGGGCTAGAGGGTGAGACTCCACCTCAAGCAAACCAATGGAATTTTACCTGATGCACTGAGCTGGTTTTTCCTTGTAATTATGAAAGTAGCCCTTTTTTCAGAATTAATTTTATGTGTATGAGTGTTTTTCCTGTGTGTATGTATGTACAAAATGTGCGTGTCTGGTGCCCTTGGAGGTCAGAAGAGGGCATCAGATCCCCTAGGACTGGAATTATAGGCAGTTGTCAGCTACCATGTAGGTGCTGGGAACAAAACTGAGTGCTCTGGAAGAACAGCCAGTCCTCTTAACCTCTAAGCCATCTCTCCAACCCTTACTTCCTTTTAAAAATCATTTGATGTAGGTGGACATGATAAGTTAGAACTCAGAGACACTTACCACCGAGTCTGACAATCTGAGTTTGATCCCTGGGACTCACACCGTGGAAGGGGAGAACTGACTCCCAAAAGTTGTCCTCTGACCTCCATATGCACATAGTGGCCATGCTAACACTCACAAGCACACATAGACACATACATGAATAAATGAGGGAATGTAATGAAAATATATTTTTCTTAGTTGTTTGTTGGTGTTGGTGGGTTTTGGTTTTTGTCTTTTTGGTTTTTTTTTTAGACACAGTCTCATTATGTACCTCTGGCTGTCTTGGAACTCATTATGTAGATCAGGCTGGACAAGAACTCACAGAGATTCACCTGCCTCTGCCTCCCAAGTGCTGAGATGAAAAGTGTGCGTCTATCCCTGGCTCTAGAAATACATTTTAAAAAATTATCTGGGATCTGGGCAAGGTGGTGCAAGGCTTTAAACCCATCTCTGGGGAGGTAGAGGCAGGCATATTTCTGTGAGTTTGAGGCCAGCCTCAAACTCACAGAGAGAGACCCTGTCTTTAAAAAAAAAAAATCAATTGATTCATACATTAACCTTTTGAAATAGGTAGTAATTGTTGTCCTTATTTTATAAATAAAGAAAACTCTTTCAAGGTCATGTACACTGATAATAAAGTCCAGATACAAACCCAGGCAGGCCAGCAAGCTCTTCCCCTAGATGACCACCTGACTCAGAAAACATCTCAGTGAGCCCTAGCATCATTCTAATTAAAATTTCCCAAGCTCTGCATATTCCCTCTCCCTACTTCATATATCCCCATAGTTATCTGATAGTCAATACATATGCTATATACATACCAACTTGTAAAGTTATATTCATTTATTTATTTTGGTGGGAGCAGGGAGGCCAGAGCAGCACAGTGTACACGTGGAGGTCAGAGGACCACTTGGGGAGGTTAGTTCTCTTCTTCTGCCACATAGAGTCTG